GTATAATATAAATATTTGTATGAATTATGAATAAGTATTATCTAGAGAGACAGAGATAAACTTTGAAATAAATAAACAAAACAAATGAAAAATGTAACAAGTTAGATTTATCCAAAATGAAAAAAATTCGCACAAAATAATAGGTCTTGTAGGCTTGATCAGCTTGTCTTGGGTTCATGTCCACGGTTGTCGAAAGCTCCTTTCTTGTCGATTTCAACACTTGATGTCTGTTCTTCAACTTCATTGAAAAGATGAAGTAGAAAAAAATAAATATAATATAAGTATAGTATATATAGATTAGTTGTACACAATCAATATACTCATTCTTTGTTCCTAATTACTTGTCCACTTTTTCTTTTTTAGTTGTTCCTAATTATTTATCAATTTTGACAAATCAAGAAAGATCAATTTTATTATACATGTTATATCCTCAATTAATTATTTTGAAAAATATAGAACTTGTTGAAACTCTTAAGTTTTTAATTCATCCACTTTATAATTAATGGGGGTAAAATGAGAAACTCACTATATCAATCATTATTTTCTTAATAGGTGTGTCAATTTAAAAGTTGATAAGTAATTAGAGAAAGAGAAAGTATTTGATATATCTTAAAATTAAAACGAAAAGTGAAAAAAGTTAAAGGATATATCAAACTCTTTTTCATTATAATAATAAGGGCAAACCACATAAATCCACTAGTTTAGATCTTAATTATTAAGATTCTCAATAGTTTCAAATATTACTTCCCGTACCATATTTTATGCTTAGGATACATGAGTCTAAATTCATGAGATACATGCAGTATCTGTCGAATTTTAAAATTGAGATACAAAATTTATTTATTTAAATTAATTGGTTGGAACTGATTTCCTTAATTAGAGGAGTAATTGAGAATTTTCAAAATACATAGATAATTAGTTTCATTAATATTAGTATATATAGTAGTGATGTATGCCTAATAAGGTAGTTTATCCTAAAAAATCCTAATAATAATAGTGTAAATCTTTGTTGGAAAGCAGAGAGTGGAGATACCTGAGCCGCCATTAACACATAAAACAGCGGTTTGTCTTATACCTTAAAAACAAATACAGCACCCACTATTCTTCTCCCCTTATTTTGTGGTACTGAATTAGACGCAAAGGGAATGGACCATGGAATAGTATCGAGGAGATATCAGGGTTTGCCTCGATAAAAAATTATATTATATATAAAAGTTTTAATTTTTTAAAAAAGTTAAAAAATAAAGCTGACTCAATAATTAAGAAAGTTTAAATTTTTTTATTTTTCGAACTTTTGTAGCAACTTGGATCTAGCACTGAAAGCGTGACACACAAAGACAAAATTGCAACTTACTGTGGCTCCAACGAGGCATGCAGCATAATTATCAATATAATTTCCACTTAGGTCTATCTTTTTATAGGCCAAATTCATTGTACTAAACATAGCATTTGGCTTGTATTTTGATAAAATTGGATGAAATGCGGTTCATTTTACATTTAGCATAACGTTTTCAAGTTTTCTGCCATAATATATACCATCAAACGTACATTCATAAATTAAAATTTTCAACATGACTTGTTTTTTTTTTAAATTCAAAGTACATCACTTGTTTGTTGTATTTAAAAATTTGCAAAAAATAGAACATGACATGTCTTTGATTCTTTGTACCAAGAACAAGTCAGATATGTATCGACACTAGAGGATGAGCAGAAGGAGTATTTATAATCAACACTTTATATAAATATCTGTAACATCTCGCAATTTGAAATAACTAGGAAGAAACTAATAATTGGAAATAGTCATTTTTGGAAAGAATGAAAATCTGGAAATTTTATTAAGTTAGAATAAGTTGAGTTTTGGTCAACTTCAAATGACCATAACTTCTAGCTCAGAATGAGTTAGGTGTACTTCCAGATATGGTAGGAAAGATCTTGGAATGATCTTTCCAAGGCCGGCGAGTTTGTGCGATTCCAAGTTTGTATGAGTGAGTTATCCCCTTTGAAAGTTAGGTTGTTCGAAGAAGGAAAGTCTAAAACTGGATTTTAGAAGGGTAGTTTGGTCTTTTCCTTACCCAACTTAATTAATTCATTTTTAGGAGTTTAATTGGGGTAAAGTCAGATTTTAGTCAGTTTAGAAAAAGTGAATTTCACGCTAGGGCTTGGAGAAAGGAGAAAAGAAGAGAAAGGAGAAGAGAAAGAAAGATTCGTCAAGATCGTCAAGTTTAGCTTGTGGATTTCGTCAAGGGGTAATCCCTACAAGGTATGTGAGATCACATAGCGTTGGGTTAGTTCACCCACGTGCCAATCATGATTCAATTCAGCGAAATATGTTTGATTTGAAAGTAAATCCTTTGAGTTCTTGATGAAATTCGTTTGAATTCTTATAGGTTGTTTTGTTGAAACTTCTTGCGCTTTGATTCATGTTTTCGGGTGTAATTTCGGTTTGAATCTAGTATATATTGAGGGTATAAATGATTCTAAGTGTTTGGGGAAATAACCATTGAAGTTTAGAGGGTTTAGAGATGAAAAACGAGCAAAAAAGGTCGGAGTTCGCCTGGACAGGGACTTGGGGAGTCGCGCCTCTCAGAGCCCCATGAGAGGCTCTCTGAACTTTGACCTCTTGGGAGGCCGCGCCAGCCAAAGCGCCCCAAGTCAAACTCTGAACTTTGAGGGCTGGTACCCCGTGCCTCTCAGAGCGCCAGGGATGCCAATTCTCCCCATTCGTTCCACACCTTTTAGCACTTGTTCCTAAGCAATGTACCTATCTTTTCTAGTTGATTCCAACACTCTAAGGTACATCTAAATATCATGAAATCGTCCATAAACATGAGATCATGAACCTTGAATCCATAATCCAATTCAAGGAAAGTTAAGATCAAAGTCAAGAGAAGTTTATAAAGTTTTCAAAAGTCTTTCAAAACGTTTTAACTTTGTTTAAAGACTCAAGTTTCGAGTTAAGCAAAGAGTAAAGAGTTGAGTTCATTCCTTCAAAATAAGTATATCGGGACTATGTATTCCCAAATAGTAAAATGTTTTCACATTTAAACAAGAAAGACAACCTTCATTTCCAAAGAGCCTTTGAGCTAGTTTTCAGAAAAGAGTAATCGCTTTCTAAATAAAGCAAGAGAGGAAACTATGATTTTCAAGATAGCCTTTGAGCTAAGTTTTTGAGCAATTATCTCAAATTACAAAAAGAAGTATATTTTAAAACATAAAAGCTAATATCACATTTTTTGGAGTAGTATTGAGCACCGATATGGAGGAGAGTTCAGACAACTCACAGCCCCCATAAACCATGTAGCCATCATGGGTAGGAAAGGGTCATACTTTTTAGATGATTCCTTTAGTGCTTTTTAGCATAGACTAGTGGATCCACTTAGTAGTTCAGGTTTTATACCTCAGCAAGGTATAGAACGACCCTGGCAGCATGAGGCAAAACGATGTATCATCACAATAGCTCTTACGTGATGGTTGTCGGTTAGAAAAACTCCCACATAAGTAATTGTATTCTTAAATACACAGTTTATTTGTATTTTTACATACATCTCAGAGTTATATGTATTTTTGCATACACACAGAGTTGACATCATGTTTTAAATAGCTTTTCTTTATATTACACTTGTTTTAAACTACTTTATATTGAAATAAGTTCAGTTATGTTGAGTTGAGTTCAGCCAGGTAAGTTCTTCAGATTCCATTCAAGCTTATGTTGTGTTTAGCATTCCAACTCGCATACTCGTACATTCAACGTACTGATGTCAGTTGGCTTGCATCTTATTATGATGTAGACACAGGTAACTAGGATCAGCATTCAGCACATAGTTAGTCCACTGAGCACTCCAGAGTCAGTTGGTGAGCCTCGTTGCATTCCGGAGGACTCCTTTTTATTGCTTTCAGTTATTTTATTAGTTCATTAGGATGTTGTGGGGTTTGTTTCGACATCCACCTCAATTGTTTTAGAGGCTTCCTAGACAGTCAGATGTTAGTTCTTTAGTCTTTTCATTGTCAATATCTTATGTTAAGACTTGAGTTTGCCTTAATGGTCAAGTTGAATATTTCATTATAACATTCCAGTTTATTTCATAGACTTGATTTTGTTGAATTAAGTCTTCCGCTGAGTAAGTAAGCCAGGCCAAGGGCTCGTTTGAGGACATCAATGGTTCTCTAGTGTCAGTCCCACCCAGGGTATAGGCTTGGGGTGTGACAAAGTTGATATCGGAGCACAGAGTTCAAGAATCCTAAAGAGTCTATGAAGTTGTGTCTGTAGAGTCTTAGTTATCGGTGTGAAGCGCACCACATCTATAATTAGGAGGCTGCAACACTTAGGAAATTTTCTCACTTCATTCACACTCATTTCGTGCGTTAGAGTTTGATCTCTAAAAAAAGGTTTCGTTCCAATTCATATTTGCACGTGTTTTCAGATAATCATGCCTCCACGAAGAGCTGTCAGAGGTCGTCCTGCTAGACGTAATTATGAGGAACAAGAGTTACAAAATCCACCTGAAGTGCAACCTCAAGGAGAAGTTACCAATGTTGAGTTTCGTGAGGCTATCCGAATGTTGAGCCAAGTTGTAACCAACCAAGTTTGGCAACAAAGAGGAGCTAGACAAAAAATGGTTAATATTTCTAGGATCCGAGAGTTCTTGAGGATGAATCCTCCAAGTTTCACGGGTTTGAGCACTACTGAGGATTCAGAGAATTTTATTGAGGAGCTGAAGAAAGTATTTGAGGTCATGCATGTTGCTGATACCGAGCGAGTTGAACTAGTTGCATATCATCTAAAGAATGTTGCTAGGACTTAGTTTGATCAGTGGAAATGGAGTAGAGCTGAGGATGCACCACCTGCGTGGGCTTGTTTTGAGGAGGATTTCTAAGGGCGTTTCTTTCCCCGAGAACTTAAAGTGGCTAAGGTACGAGAGTTCCTCACACTTAAGCAAGATTCTTTGAGTGTTCATGAGTATGGGTTGAAATTCACCCAACTATCCCGTTATGCTCCGTAAATGGTTGCGGACATCAAGAGTAGAATGAGTTTGTTTGTTGCTGGATTGGCTCGTCTGTCGAGTAAGGAAGTTAGGGCTGCAATGCTGATAAGTGACATGGATATCTCAAGATTAATGGTATATGTGCAGCAGGTTGAGGAAGAGAAGTTGAGGGATAGGGAAGAGTTTAAGAATAAGATAGTTAAGACAGGGAATGAGTCCGGAGAGCAGAAGAGTAATGCCAACCGGTCATCCTTCCAACATAAATAGAAAGGACTTGCTCCATCATCTGCTAGTGCACCTGCACCTAAGAACAAATGTGAGTACATTAGTCAGAATTTCAGAGCTAAGCCTGCATATTCTTAGGGTAACATGGCGCAATGGGGTAGTAAGCCTCTTGCCTGCGCTAAGTATGGTAGGAACCACTCAGGTACATGTCGTGCGGGCTCCACTGGTTATTTCAAGTGTGGTCAGAATGGTCATTTCATGCGAGTATACCCAAAGAGCAAGCAGGGTAATGGTAATGGGGCCAATAGAACTCAGTCTTCTTCAATTGCTCCACCAGAAAGAGCTTCACCTAGAGGGGATACTTCCGGTACTGGAAGAGGAACAAACCGCTTGTATGCTATCAATAGTCGCCAAGAGCAAGAGGATTCGCCAGATGTTGTCACTGGTATGATCCATGTCTTTGACTTTACTGTTTATGCTTTGCTAGACCTAGAAACAAGTTTATCTTTTGTAACTTCATCTGTTGGTGAGTCTATTCTACTATCGTGATTGTCCCGTTTCTGTTAATCATAAGAGTACCATGGCTGATTTAATTGAGTTAGACATGGTAGATTTTGATATCATTCTAGGTATGGACTGGATTTATGTTAGTGATGCCTCAGTTGATTGTAGATCTCGAGTTGTCAAGTTCCAGTTTCCAAATGAGTTAGTCTTAGAGTGGAAAAGTTGTTCAACATTGCCTAAGGGTCGTTTCACTTCGTACCTTAAGGCAATGAAGTTAGTTTCTAAGGGGTGTGTCTATCACTCAGTCCGAGTTAATGACTCGAGTGTTGAGATACCTCTTATTCAGTCAGTTTCAGTAGTAAAAGAGTTTCCAGAAGTCTTTCCAGATGATCTACCTGGAGTCCCTCCTGAGAGAGATAGACTTTGGTATAGTTATTCTCCCAGATACTCGTTTTATATCTATTCCGCCATATAAAATGGCACCAGCAGAGTTAAAAGAGCTTTAAGAGCAGTTAAATGATCCCATAGATAAGGGCTTTATTCGACCAAGTGTCTCACCTTGGGGTGCTCCGGTCTTATTTGTGAGAAAGAAAGATGGTTCCCTTAGGATGTGTATAGACTACTGTTTGTTGAACAAGGTTACCATCAAGAATACATATCCTCTCCCAAGGATTGATTATCTTTTCGATCAACTTCAGGGTGCCACTTGCTTCTCTAAGATAGATCTCAGATCTGGCTACCATCAGTTACGAGTAAGGGAATGTGATATTCCAAAGACAGCTTTCAGAACCCGTTATAATCATTATGAGTTTTTGGTCATGTCCTTTGGTTTGACCAATACACCTGCAGTATTCATGGGCCTTATGAATAAGGTATTCAAACCTTATTTAGATATGTTTGTTATCATTTTCATTGATTACATACTAATCTATTCAAGGAATGAAGAAGATTATACTAGTCATCTCAGAATAGTTCTCTAGACTTTAAAAGATAGAGAGTTGTATGCCAAGTTCTCTAAGTGTGAGTTTTGGCTTGAGTATGTAGCTTTCTTAGGCCACATTGTGTCTGGAGAGGGGATTAAAGTTGATACCCAGAAGATTGAGGCAGTGCAGAATTGGCACTAGACCCATATCTCCAACTGTTATTAGGAGTTTCTTAGGATTAACTGGCTATTATAGAAGGTTCGTAGAGGGTTTCTCATTTATTTCATCCCCGTTCACCAATTTAACTCAGAAGACAGTGAGGTTTCAATGGTTTGAAACTTTGTGAGAAAAGTTTTTAGGAATTGAAAAAGAGGTTGACTACTGCCCCAGTTTTGACCTTACGAGAAGGTACTCAAGGCTTTGTTCTCTAGTATGATGTGTCTAAAGTTGGTTTGGGTTGCGTGTTAATGTAGAATGGCAAAGTCATAGATTATGCCTCCAGACAGTTGAAAGTTAATGAGAAGAATTACCCAACCCATGACTTAGAGTTGGCTGATGTAGTATTTGCCTTGAAGATTTGGTGTCATTATTTGTATAGTGTTCATGTTGATGTATTCACTTATCATAAGAGTCTTCAATATGTGTTCACTCATAAAGACCTTAATCTCAGACAAAGGAGATGGTTAGAATTACTCAAGGATTATGACATGAGTATTCTTTACCACCCAGGTAAGGCTAATGTTGTTGTTGATGCTTTAAACATGTTGTCTATGGGTAGTACTGCCCATGTTGAGGAGGAAAAAAGAGAGTTAGTGAAAGATGTGCATAGACTTGCACGCTTAAGAGTCCGACTAATAGATTTCATAGAAGAAGAAGTAGTGGTGATGAATGGGGCAGAATCTTCATTAGTGTCAGAAGTGAAAGAAAAGCAAGACCAAGATCCAAATTTTTCTTGAATTGAAGGCAAATGTTCATAAGCAAGAAGTATTAGCTTGTGAACAAGGGGGAAATGGAGTATTGAGTTATCAAGGTAGGTTGTGTGTACCAATGGTGGATGGACTATAAGAAAGGATCATGGAGCAAGCTCATAGCTCCAGATATTCCATTCATCTGGGTTCTAAAAAGATGTATCGTGATTTGAGAGAAGTGTATTGGTGGAATAGTATGAAGAAGGGCATTGCAGAATTTGTTGCTAAGTGCACAAATTGCCAACAAGTTAAAATAGAGCACCAAAGGCCCAGTGGTTTGGCTAAGACTATAGAACTTCCGGAATGGAAGTGGGAGATGATTAATATGGACTTCATCACACATTTACCAAGGTCTCGCAGGTAGCATGATTCTATTTGGGTGATTGTCGACAGAATGACAAAATCAACCCATTTTTTTGTCGGTAAAGACTACTCATTCGGCAGAAGATTATGCTAAGTTGTATCTTTAAGAGGTGGTAAGACTTCATGGGTTTCTGGTATCCATTATTTCAAACAGATGTGCGTAATTTACTGCGCAGTTTTGGAAGTCATTCCAAAAAGGATTGGGTTTAAAGGTGAACTTCAGTACTGTCTTTCATTCTCAGACAGATGGGCAAGCAGAGCGCACTATTCAGACCTTAGAAGATATGTTAAGGGCTTCTGTGATTGATTTCGAAGGGAATTGGGATGATCACCTACCTCTCATTGAGTTTGCTTACAACAATAGTTACCACTCGAGCATCCAAATGGCTCTTTATGAAGCTTTTAATAGGAGAAGATGCAGATCTCCTATAAGATGGTTTGAAGTTGGTGAAGCATGGTTGATAGGACCAGATTTGGTTCATCAAGTTATGGAGAAAGTGAAATTGATTCAAGAGAGGTTGAAAACGGCGCAGAGTCGCCAGAAATCCTACAATGATGTTAGGAAAAGAGCATTAGAGTTTGAAGTAGATGATTGGGTATATCCTAAAGTTTTACCCATGAAAAGTGCTATGACATTTGGTAAGAAGGGGAAGCTTAGTCCCCGGTATATTGGCCCTTACAGAATATCGAAAAATGTAGGTAGTTTATGAGTTGAAGCTACCCCAAGAGTTAGTTGCGATTCATCCAATGTTTCACATCTCTATGTTGAAGAAATGCATGGGAGATCATTCATTGATCATACTAACTTAAGATATTGGGATCAATGATAGTTTATCTTATGAAGAGATTCCGGTTCAAATTCTAAATCGCCAAGTTCGCAAGTTGAGAACAAAAGAGGTAGCATCAGTCAAAGTCCTTTGGAGGAGCCAATTTGTTGAAGAAGCTACTTGGGAAGCTGATGAGGATATGAAGAAGAGATATCCACATCTCTTCGAATCTGGAGAAGTTTCGAATTAAGGTACTAATCCTTTCTTAGTATTTATTTATATGTTGGTATGTTGTTTTGCATTTGCTTGTGGGTGCTTGAACTGAATGTTGAATGTTACACCCTTAGCCTAGTAAGAGTAATCTCATTCGAGGATGAATGTTTCCAAGGGGGAGATATTGTAAAATCTCAAAATTTGAAATAACTAGGAAGAAGCTAATAATTGGAAATAGTCATTTTGGAAAGAATGAAAATCTGGAAATTTTGTTAAGTTAGAATAAGTTGAGTTTTGGTCAACTTCAAACGGCCATAACTTCTAGCTCAGGATGAGTTAGGTGTACTTCCAGATATGGTAGGAAATCTCTTGGAATGATCTTTCCAACGCCGCCGAGTTTGCGTGATTCCAAGTTCGTATGAGTGAGTTATATCCTTTGGAAGTTGCGTTGTTCGAATAAGAAAAGTCTAAAATCAGATTTTAGAAGGGTAGTTTGGTCTTTTCGTTACCCAACCTAATTAATTCGTTTTTAGGAGTTTAATTGGGTAAAGCCAGATTTTAGTCAGTTTAGAAAAAGTGAATTTCACGCTAAGGTTGGAGAAAGAAGAAGAGAAAGTAAGATTCGTCAAGATCGTCGAGTTTAGCTTGTGGATTTCGTCCAGGGGTGATCCCTACGAGGTATGTGAGATTACATATCATTGGGTTAGTTCACCCATGCGTCAATCATGATTCAATTTAGCGAAATATGTTTGATTTGAAAGTAAATCCTTTGAGTTCTTGATGAAACTCGTTTGAATTCTTGTGGGTTATTTTATTGAAGCTTCTTGCGCTTTGATTCATGTTTCCAGGTGTAATTTCAGTTTGAATCTAGTATATATTGAAGGTATATATGATTCTAAGTGTTTGGGGAAATAACCATTGAAGTTTAGAGGGTATAGAGATGAAAAACGAGCAAGAAAAATTGGAGTTCACCTGGACAGGGGCTTGGGGAGTCGCACCTCTCAGAGCTCCATAAGAGGCTCTCTGAACTTTGACATCTGGGGCACCGCGCCAGCCAGAGCTCCCCAAGTCAGTCTTTGAACTTTGAGGGATGGCGCCCCGCGCCTCTTAGAGCGTCAGGGACGCCAGTTCTCCCCATTTGTTCCTCACCTTTTAGTACTTGTTCCTTCGCAATATACCTATCTTTTCTAGTTGATTCCAACACTCTAAGGTACATCTAAACATCATGAAATCATCCATAAACATGAGATCATGAACTCTGAATCCATAATCAAATTCAAGGAAAGTTAAGATTAAAGTCAAGAGAAATAATAGTCAAGTCAAGAGAAGTTTATAAAATTTTCAAAAGTCTTTCACAAACGTTTTAACTTTGTTTAAAGACTTAAGATTTAAGTTAACCAAAGAGTAAAGAGTTGAGTTCATTTCTTCAAAAGAAGTATATCGGGACTATGTATTCCAAAGAGTAAAATGTTTTCACATTTAAACAACAAAAGAAAATCTTGATTTCCAAATAGCCTTTGAGCTAGTTTTCAGAAAATAGTAATCGCTTTTTAAATTAAGCAAGAGAGGAAACTATGATTTCCAAGATAGCCTTTGAGCTAAGTTTTTGAGCAATTATCTCAAATTACAGAAAGAAGTATGTTTGTAAACATAA